GACGTCTTATTTAAGACTACTTTAAGATGTTTATAATATATTATTAGTATATACTAATATATCTATCTCTTCTCTTTTAACGATAAATGAGCCTCTAAAAGAGGCTTAGGAGCCACCTGATTGGCTGAGAAGTTACATTTAAGGCACTTTTATCGATGAAAGAGGGGATTCAGAATACGGGCCTATATATACATACACTATATACATACTACATATATATGTACATGTTATTATAAATTTATATATATGTATATATATGCATACTTTAAAAAGGAGAGGATATGTCATTTACTATCGTTTGTTACAGTCGGTTGAGAATTATGAGATTAGAATTAATTGCATTATACTTGCATATTATAATTGCATTACTGAATTTGCTCATTCGGCCTCAGTGTTAGAATTCTGTAACTCGTTATTGAAGTTAACGATAGTTTCGTTATCGTTGCGTAACTTTTCGATATTCATATATTATATATGATATCAGATATATCACTGTTATCTTTCAACTAACATCGTCCTTAATCCTATCTCTGAGCAGATGGAGCAGACAGATGAGCAAATCCACAGTCTAATCATAACTTCCGATCGACTATTGTAAATAAACGATATTAAATAAAACATTCTTTTCTTTTTAATGTTTATATAATTTTTATATTATATAATGTTTATATAATTTTAGAAACCTATAATGGGGAGGAGGGAATACACACATAAAGTAGTCTTAAACAGATTAACTTTAAGAAGTCTTAAAATAATGTCTCAAAGATGTCTTAAAAGAATGTCTCTAAGACGTCTTAAAGACATCATAATGACGTTTTTCTGATAACTGTTTAAGACGTCTTTATCTCAAAGATGTCTTTAACCCTTTAAGGCGCGTAATTCATGGAACATTCTAATAACTTTTTTTAATGAAATATTGTCAAAAACACTCTAATTAGCACATTTATAAGGTTTCAACTGCCCGATCCTAAGTGGTCCCTATTGGATCAATTATACTTAAAGGGTTAAAGTCTATTAGTAATAGTTACTCGAAAATTGTCTCAGATGAAATACTCAGATTTTTATTCAAAATCCAAGTTCTTCAGTTGAATTACGATAAGTATAATATTTATATCTATAGTCGCGATTCAAATGGAAAACCCTCATCTAACTCTAAATTGAAATCTAAATATCTTACTTGAGACAGGTTTCAAGCAATGATTATTAATATAGGTCTTGATAAAAGACACCATGTGTTGTTTGAGATAGATCTCTGTACACATCAATATTTGATAAAGTCCGCGCATGAATGCCAAAAATAGGTAGAATGCCGGTTACTGAACGCTTTTACATGACTAATCTGCGGTCATGTTGGTGGCAGATAATGCCAGATGCAAAATTCAGTTATTGAACATGAACATTTTCCTTCGAATCAGTGTTTGATAGTTTATTGTTAAGAAACGAAGAGAATATTTCTCATGAAACACAGAAGCGTTCACGTTAAATTATCAATTACATTTTTACATATACGAGTAGAATAATTCTCTATGTGTGTGCTCTTACATGTTTTAGATCTTGAATGTAGGTTGCACTGTTGCAAACATGATTCTGTCATTATACTAACATTAGAAATATAGTGTAAAGGGTCTATGTGTATTGATGTAAAATGCAAGAAGTATACGTTTATTATAGTCGCACGTATAATCGACGAAATATTAGGTCATATTGGTTTCATGACTGTAACGGTCACGGTCGATTTTCGGAATACGTGATCCATATATTTATAAAAACTTGCAAACGTGTAAACATAAGTGAAGACGGATACGCATAAGTGAAAGCAACATATTATTGACGTTAGGAAATGTATTAATAACATAGTTGAATATGCAACGTAAAGTAAATAAATTACAATGTTGGAACAAAACAGACCAACAAATTAATTTGTTGAGAAATCTATTGACGTGCACAGCAGTTATCACAATTATTTCTATTGGAACTTTAGATCGTATGACTTAAGTAAACCATAATACAAGGATGTGTGATAAATAATTAGAAAACTAATGTATAAGTATCTGTAAAATAAAGATATCCGAAATGTGTACGAATGTTCCCAGGAAAATCATTATATTATATCTAAAGCTTGTAAAAAAAATATCAGCTTAATATTAAAACAAAAAAAAAGAAAGATAAATGCTACCCCTCACACACACACGCACACTCACACACAGCCTTGTGAATTCTCTTTGATTTTTATATGACAAAAAGACATATTGTAAATTTCACTGTTAGTAGTTACATGAACACTGTGGATTTTTACATTATAATTTAATTTAATTTTAATGGAAACTATAGCCGAGTGAGTCGATGAAACTGTGATCTCCTCATGAGATATAAACTATAGGATATGTGAGTGGTAGACTGAAAGAAGTGATTTGTATAACTATAATAAGGAAATCCGCGATAGTTTTACACTTATAGATTTTCATGCACTTCAATTATGCTGTAGTCTGGCTCAAAAGGGACATATATTTTTGTAAAAAAATGTGTCTTTTATTTTGACCTGGATCACAACGTAATTTAAGCACGTGAAAATTGTAGAGACACCATTGTGGACTTCCTGATATATATAGGAATAAAGTACTAAAATTACTAAGTCTACTTAAGCCACAAACACGTTGGACGAGTACAATCGCGTTCCTAATCACGCACGCAAGTGCGAAATTTCGACAAAACACATAATCGATCCTTCTTTTTAGTTCGATGCGAACGTAACAACATAAAAAAATCACCGGAAAAAATATTCCAAACTGATTGATATGACACTATCCTGATGTGTATAGCTATATATATTTTTGGATACATTCATTGCTACTAAAACCGCTTACTAAACGCTTAGCGAGCGGTTATAGTATTGAATGCAAACATTATTGTATTAATCACTGATTAAAATCGAAATTGGGTTGCGCATTTTCTTCTCTCGTGTGTTTATTACAGATATATTATGACAAGCGCATTAAAGGTAGCATATCCATTTATAATGCATGTAATACAAACTATCAATCCCAAATACGTCACGATGTCTATCTAAATGACTAATGGCTCGTGCACATACAATATACTATATATAATTGCTGTTAATGTCTACTGAAGTATCAAAGCGTGACGCCGTATTCACTGCATTCTCGTATCTTTGTCGATATCGTTATATACGAAGTACGCCTCTTGGAGTCTTCGACCGCGAGCGCTACGCCTACTTAGTAGAATGCATTCGAACTTTTTTCACGCGATGTTGCTTGCTTTCTCTTACTTGTTTTTCCTTACTATGGTCCGATTGCGCAAAGAGAATTATATAAATGAGGAGAAAACACGAATCGTCAAGATATATTCACCAAATGTAAAGTCACGATCGCACTATTAAATTCCGTATTTCGTCTTGGCAAACGCATTTGTGCCCTTCTAACGAGTCTGTGTCCTTGCCGAAGCATAATATTCATAGAACTGCGTTTTCGTGGGTAAAGTGTAAAATGCAAAAGCACGTGTTTTCTGTATGGATGGGAGACGAATCGAGAATAAGCGTTTCAACGACGGAACTGTACCGAACGAACTCGAAAAATAACGTGTAAATATACGAAAAATTACAAGGTTAGCATTGCGAAGCTTCTCTTCGTTTGCGTCACTACTGCCTCTTAATTCGTATCCCATGCTTGTTACTTTTTTTTTCTTTTTTTTCCCCAAGTACGTTTATAAGGAAATGCAATAACGATGAAGGTAAAAGACACTAAAGGCGCAAAAGCCTTATCTTCTTTTCGACACTGGAGACGCAGAAGCATTATACGATAATCGTTCATTCCTCTTTCTCGGCCTTCTCGACGTCTTGCTTCTCTTCACCTTCTGCGGGGATACCGCCCTCAAATTTCGGACCTGGTGTTTCGTCGCCTTCCAAAACGATTTCTTCCGGGTCAGGTGCGCGCGGCAGAAAGTCTTCGTCTGGATACATAGACTTGAAGATACTCTTGGCCTAAGAGCGAAAGAACGATTGTACAAAATTATACTTAAGTGGTGATTTTTTTTTTGTCTCAGGTACACATACAAGCAATGACAGTCATACAAATTACATTGTTTACACTGAAAGAGATATTTTATGAAATAATTAATTAATTATTTGTTGAATACAATATTATGAAATGATTAATTATTTAAAATTTTAGGAAATAATTAATTAATTTTTTATTAAAATCTAAGGAAATAGAGTATTTTAAAAAATAAAATTTCAGAGAATAATTAATTTTGTGTTAAATAAACTGACATACCTGGTTTACAGCAAAGTCAAAATCAAGTTCAAGATCTGGTCCGGAGCATAAATGTATGTTATTCGGCGCCGACTCGCTTAATTTAATGTCACTCGCAGGTAAATTCAGATATAGGGACCATAATACTTGCGGTATCGGGTACTCCGTTTCTTCCTTCTCTTGATTATCACCATCCTAGTATAATTAATTGAAAGAACTCGATTTAGAACATGAGATTCTCAATTTCAATTAAATTCAATTTCGAGGACGTTTTATTACCTGAAGATGTCGTTTATCAGGAGATACCGTCTGGGTATGAGAATCCGAAGAACTACGTACATTGGGATCAAGCGGTTCAGCTCTCAGGAACTTATTCACAACATACGCTAAGTCTTCCTTCGCGTTCTTGGTGCGTTTGCATGTCATATGAACCATAACTAAAGGAAGGCACAATAGAGACATTCTTGACCCAACTGACTTTTGTGTATACAGAATATTCTTTAACCAACGCTCATTAATTACATAATGTCATTCTTAAATAAAAATTGGAAAATTCAGACTTTTTTTGCGTTGCTTTACAAAATAATAATTAAGTGAAACCCAGCCAATCGCTACTTTACGAAACATTGCAGAAGAAAGTGGGTCAGGATTTTTTACCTTAATTTTTTGAGCGCTAATTAAGAAAACATCCTGCACATTTGTGCGAGTGTTATACATACACAACCCTTGAGGACAAGCATTGGTGGATGGTCCCAATTCAATTACAGTAACAGGTTCTTGGCCTGTTTCTTCCGGCGGATAGTACAAAAGTGTTAGACTTTCTTTCTCGCCTTGCATAATTGATCTGTGGAAATGAAACAGTTCTTCTAACATAACGCCGCGTGCAACATAAAATAGTATCAGTCGTCATTTAAACAGTAGACTAAACATAGGCAATACCTGTCGGTAATGAAAATTCCGCGCGAAATTTGATTCTCTCCTTCGGAGGCTACGATTTCTGGTGGCAAGTGTCCTTGCCCTACGACTAAGTGCTCCAAGGCCAATCTTTGTTTGCCAGTGATAATAGCTTTGCATTTATCTCCATTAACTACCACGCCGTCCAGTTGTCTCTTTAAGCAATAAACTCCGCCGAAAACCGCGCATAATCTGCAAGAAGAAAATCGTGGAGATTGTCGTTATTTTGAGAAAATTATATAATTTCGACATGTTCTCGTATTCGGAGCATACCGGCAAAAGCATTGAGGCAGTTCACCGCTTCCGTACATAGGCCATAAGAAGGGTGTATTACCATAACGTCCAAGACTATTCAGAAAGTGCTTCGTGCGGTTAACGCCGTCCCTGCATGATGTTTTATCCGTCGCCATCGCGATGGCTTGCACAACGTAATGCTGTACTATAGGCGTGAGATTTTTCGTATTAAGATATTCTAAGAAAGTTTTATCACGGAAACCTGCAAATGTGTGAAATCGGTCATTGATTCTATTTTGAGGTCAAGCTAAGAGAACATACGACATTAAATACGTCGCACATACCATCGAACTCTGGACTATCGGCACCTTGTTCCATGCAAGATGTCAGAAGTTGCATTAACATTCTCTTTTCGACCACACTAACGGTTTTGTTAGCAAACACGTCGGCTCGAGAGCAAGGGACCTGCGTGAGTTTGCCGTCCATATACGTGGCGACCCTAGAGACTGCACGAAATTCGGCATAACGTGCGATATTACTAGAAATCAACAGTTCCACTAATTCGCCGCGAGCGAATAATAGCTGCAATGAGAAGCGCACGTCAAAGATGCACAACAAACAGCAAATGCAAACAATGCATATACATGGAAGAGATAATTCCGTTAGTGTAACTGAATTTTCTGTTATCCAGGGACCAGATGAAGAACTAGTTTGTAAAAATAAAAAGATTCCTGTAGGAGGTTTCTACTCAGCCAATTGTCCAGCAACCAAATTTTAAAGGAATACTGAATGTCAATCGCAGCAATGATCTTTACAATTTTCCTGAATAAACACACATTTGATACACCATAGAATGTACAAACTGTAGAACTCTCATATTAGACAAATATTTACGATGACAATTCGAGATATTAATTTTTTATCATTCTTGTGTCATATTGACAAATTAATATTGCTATCCGATTAATTTTTGCATACTCTCAATATGTAAATGCATTTGTAATTCTGTGCAACTAATACGACATAAATTTTGCAGGAAAAATCAGTATTTTGTTGATAAAATTTTCAAATATGACATCCCATAAGTGCAGCTGAATGTTCAGACAAATATTTTCGGATACAGTAACAAATATATTATTTAGTGAGTTTTTCATCCTATTCAGTTACGCGAACTGAAATTTTGTTTTCGTGTATGTGTATCCACAAGTGCAGCGAGCTCACTTTAGGTGCCAGATCGATATTAAATCTTCTATATTCCTTCTTTATACGGTCTATGCTCCATTGTTTCACGTTCTCTTTTTTGTCAGCCTTGTCCTGATCAGTCTTTTCCGCACCCTCAATGGCGCCGCTGTCTCCAGAGTTTTCAGTCTGGGTGTCTTTGGAGGAAACGACAGGTAAATCTGCTTCGCTGTAAACGCAAAGGCAAACCAATCAGAGTGTGCAAAGTCATTTCTGAGATTGTCAAAATAATTACTACACATCTCAATGCTTACTTGGAAATGTACCAAGTTTCTCCAATGTTCTCGACAGTGGAATATTGATCACTAGCTTTCAAGAATTTTTCACCATCCTCTAAATCCACACTCGTATTTCTAGTGTTGTCCTTTGCTGTTTTTAGATCTTCTATCCATTTTTGCAAACCGTCAAAATTAAATGTAGCCCAAAGACCTCCGTAATATTCATTGCTAAATATAAATAAGTAAAAATTTTATAAAGCGGTCCATTATGAAACTCTTATTTACAAAATACTTACGAGATATTTACAACATTTTTAATTATAAGTACACTGAAGTATATAAATTGTATGTGCAAGGGAATTTTTTATTAATAGTATATTCATTAGTATGTATGAGGCAATAGTATTACGTCATTCAATTTTCCCTCCAATATTTTCTTCTATTTAACGACAAACTAACAGTTCAATAAATTCACAGTTTAATGCTGCAATTCTAAGCAGAATCGTAAGTCTCGTAACTTGTTCTCGTAAAATTCGTCAGAACTTATGAGTAGATTTACATGTCTATGCAATATCATATATCATACAATCACTTGTAAATATCGTAAATTACATAAAATCATAGATATTTACGAATAATTGTATGACATATGATATTGCATAGACTTGTAAATCTACTCATAAGTTCTGACAAATTTTACGAGAACAAGTTACGAGACTTACGATTCTGCTTAAAATTGCAGTATAAATTTGTATAATTACTTGAAAACCAATTTGAAAAGTTTTGACATTGTAATTACTGGTATTACATGTTGTGCATACATAGTTATAATTTTTATATATAAACAGCATATTATACACACATACACACACACACACACACACACACACACGATACAATCATATAGTAAAATAGTTATAATATTTATAACAGAGTTGTATCATAGATTTCAAAATTATGTTGTGTTATTTATATATAATGTGATATATATAGTTTTTTCTCATGTAGACAATATAAATTTAAGTAGGATATTGTAATTATATTAAAATATACAAAAACGAATAATTAAATTATAAGACAGTTACAGTATCTGTTTTGGATATTAACTATAAATGTAATGTTTAAAAAAGATAACAAATTGCATGAAACTTCCAGTTCATGTAACAGATTGATCAATTCAATTTTGAAAGTATTCTATGGACTCTAATTTGTTTAAGAAATAATATTTACAAATTTGCACATCAGGATTCCAAAGATTAAAAATCTACTTTTTTTTAAATACATTTTTCAGCAAACCATATGTTCTTTAAATGATATTTATAAATTATTCATTGTCTACATAGATAATATCTTATGTATAATTTATATTATCTACACTTAGACATGGAGTATCATAATTTATACATAAATGACCAATCTTGATTTGTACAGCGTGTAACACCAATAATTCACCAATAATACCAGAAGTAGACGAGAAATGACCAAGTCAGCTTTAAATCTAAGTCATGCCAATTCAGATTACAAATGCAACTAATTTTTTTAGGCTGTTACGTGAAAGATAATCTACAACAATGTGTCAGTTGCATATGGGATTGCAGCTGATTAATGGCATGTCAGTGCAGGAGGTAGGAGAAAGTCGCGCCGGCCGGGCACCTGGGTATTACCTGTCCAAGTGCAGAACCTTCTTGCCAATCCTGCTTGCCGCCGCGGCGACGATGGACTCGGTCATACCTGTCGGGAATCATGATAGCAAGCAGTGTTGGGTTATTGGCGAGAATTCGCTGCGGCCGAGGACAACGCGCGGCATCGTTTTGATAAAAATCAATACCTGTGCCTACGACAACCACATCGTACTCGGTCGGCAGATCGTCCTCCATGACTGCTCCTCCCCCAGCTGTCTTTCGGTCTCAGCGAAATAGCGCGCTCGCGAGGATATATACGATTATACACACCAATCGTGCGACGTCACGATCAATCCCGGCCGATCAATTCATCTTCTTCAGAGCGGCCGGATACCAATGTCGAAATTCGCGTAAAAGTCGGGCCCCACCCCGCGAACACAAGCTTTCACTCTGGCTCTCGTGCGCACGGGCCTTCACCCCTTTTTGTTCCGAGTTTGACAGAACAGTGCAATACGCCACGCAGGAATGAAACGATTGCCCGGTCGGACAGGTTGCCTGGCGCCATCTGACGGTGGCGCGGAGAGACCTGTTCGGTTAGACCCGTTATACGATTAGACTCGTTACTTTTGTTAGTTCCAATGTCTCCGCTACGAGCTGTCATGTATATATAATGTGCTCGATTTCTATCATTATTTTTATTTGTTAAATGATACATTGAACGGTCATAGAATACAAAAGCATTAAAAACAAAATTGCATTGTATTATGCATTGTGCTATTATCTAGTTCTAGATAGATAGATAAGACATTTTTTTATAGATTATTCACACAAGCGGCAATATTTTATTTTCAGCAATGGATACTGCAGGTAACAATACTCTCTTTCTCTCAAGAATGTTATATATATCTTTTTGCTTTAGAATATTAAAAATTACCTTCTAATGCTGCAGCAAACAGATGCCCTTTTATAGAGGAACGTTCTAGAAAGTATTTGATTTATTTTAATGAAAAATTACATTCTTGTAAGTATCTGTGTACATATTTTTTTTAACATAGAATTCCATGTGTACAATTTAGATGCATGAATTTTATTTCATTTTCAGTGAAGTTATTGTTAAATCAGTTGAGTAGAATGATAGAAATATTAGAGGTTTTTAACTTTACATATGATAGTTGTCCTCAATTACTGGACCAGTTAAAAGTATTGCAAATGATTTCTAGAAAAGAAAGAGACAAAAAGAAAATTTTATTCTAGTAATAACTCCAACATTTATTAAATAATAAAGATTTGCAAGAGAAAATAAACAAACAAAGAAATTATGGCACAAAAGAGACAAGACAAGCTTAAACAGTTGGATATAGAGGCTCAAGCTCTGTCCAGAGCTTTAAGTAATGAAGAGCATGAGGATACTAAAAATATTCAAGTTAGTAAAAATAGTCAGAGCTTTCAGTTAAGAGGGATGAATATAACAAATATAATTTTTATGGACAAGAAAGAGAAAAAAGTTAAGTTTTATATACAGCTGATTCTGTATTAAAACACAATAAATGTGACAGAGATAGAAGATAGATAAGCATAAAAGATAAGATAGAGTATAACAATGTTACAAAGGGAAGCCAATGATTCATTATTAACTGTCAAAACAATTCTGAAAGTAGTGAACAAAATGAAAGTATTAGTTAACGAACATTCGTCATGAACACATCTGAAGCTCGCTGTTCTCAGAGTAACTCTACAACCAAAAAACAAAGTGAAAAGCCAAAAACCAGCAAAAGGGGATGGGCATACATAATTAAAAATCAATATCAAGCTTATGATGATGACAAATACAGAGAAATAATACAAGACACAACTATTGAATTTTATAGAGAAAACAAGTATAATATTGTGAAACCAGGAAAATTTGCAGTAAAACATGACTTCTCAGCGCCTTACCATTTATTTTTCACAAGAGTGGACTCATCAGAGGAAACTTACAATCAACAATACTCCATAACTTTTCCTGAGATTCTTGACAAAAGTCTTGGGGAGATAGTCAACAGTCTTCATCTGAATTTCAAAGTAGACATCACATGGCTGTGTACACAATACATATTGGCTGGCCAGCGTACTAACATGATGATTCTGTATGGTAATAGAACAGATGAGACAGAATTGGGTGACAACATCACTGCAATACAAATGAAGAAGCCATCTAATTTTGGATGCCATCATACCAAGATTATTATTCTGCAATACAGTGATGGTGGGATTAGGGTAGTCGTTTCTACTGCCAATTTGTTCTCTAAAGACTGGGAGGACAAGACACAAGGGTTTGTTCCAAATCGGGTATAATTTGAACGAATTTTTCTAAAGTTTCATCCATATTATATTTAATCCTAATTTCCAATTGTCCAACTTCAAGAATCTGTAAAATACTCATAGACATTTCTTACTAGGTGTATGATATTTATGGTTAAACTTCTATCATGTTCTTATCACAGATTATGGATTTCGCCTCATTTATCTCCGTTGCCGGAATACGCGAATCTTTGTGTGGGAGAGTCAAAAACGAATTTTAAAAAGGACCTCTACAAGTATTTGAGCAAATACGAGAATCCTGATTTGCATCAATGGATAGAGATAGTGAAGAAGACGAACTTTTCTGACGTAAATGTGTTTCTCATCACATCTGTTCCTGGGGATTATGAACATGATAATGCCTGTTGGGGATACAACAAATTGTCGCATATTCTCTTCTATCATGCAACGTTGCCAGAGGACGCACAGAAGTGGCCTCTAATTGCGCAAAGTTCCAGCATAGGCAGTCTCGGTTCAAGTTACAAGAAGAGCTGGTTGTCGGAGGAGATAGTTGAGTCTATGTCATACACGCAGGAAACCACGCAGGATTCAGAGAACCCGGAATTTAAGTTTATTTATCCGTCGTTAAAGAATTACAAGCAAAGCTACGATTATGAATACTATAGGAGCTCCTGCCTATGTTATAGCAGGGATAGGCATGACAAACAGAAGTGGATAGAATCGTATTTATAGTAAGTTTTATTTGCTTTTTATAACAGAGTTGTGGAAGTTATTTATTACAAATAATTTGTATGTTATATATTCACAACCCACTAAAAGAAAGGAATTTTACTTAAAAAATCCAAAACAATGAAATTCATAAAAATATATACAAATTTTATTAAAATACTGTATTATATGACTTTATTTCAACTTATTTCTATCAGAATATTCTATTTCAGAATCAGAAAAATTCGAAAATTTCTATAATGTTACTTTAATTTTTCTCATTTAAACTTAATGTAAAAAGTTATCTTTTGTTCTATATCGCGTAACTTATTTTTAACGATTAAATATTTATTTGAATACACGTGTTTCTTTTTATATGTAATTTTATTTATTTTTTTATCAAAAACACGATTTAGTTACATAGATCTTTCTTATATAATTTTTGTTATATAATACTTGTACTTTTATCAAATCTTTTAAGCAGGGAACTTATTATCATTAACTCTTTCTCCCTTGCCTCACTATTTTGACAAATAACTTGTTATTATTATCGTTATTCCAGAAGTAACAGGTCGTTACAACTTTCGTTACTTTTTTCACTAAATTCTAAAGACAATTCTTTTATAATTTTCAGTTCATGTAGATTTTACATGTGTAAAATAACAAAATATTGTTATCGTTACGATGAAAGATACCGTCGATACCAACATGTTATTGACAAAGGCGTCACTTGTAACGCGTGATAAATATGTTACAAATAATGCGTTACTTCCCAACACTACTTTTTAATTTTTCTTTGGAAACAACATGTTATTTCTATAGCTAGACTTTTATGATTATATGCAGCCAGTGGAGGGCGGAGAGAACAGGACGGACCCGGGCGATGCCTCATATTAAATCCTACACGAGGGTCTCACCCGACCTGAAAAGCATTCCCTGGTTTGTGCTGACCAGCGCGAATCTCAGCAAAGCCGCGTGGGGAGGCCAGTACTACAACAAATATTCTATAAAAAATTACGAGGTCGGCGTTGTGTTCCTACCAAAGTTCATTGTAAGTGTCATCATTAGCATATCTGATCATCGACGAATAAAACTTCTCAGCCGTTTAACCCGGAAGTGGGCGCTTGTCGGTCATTTCTTCGTACTTTTTCGTTTTCTATTTATATCATCTAATCTATTGACATTATCGTATTTTCGCATTTACGTAAATTTTCTTTGATGTTTTCGCGTATAGCATGGAGAAGTAGACGCGCTTATTTCTGTGTGAAATTTGATACGTTTTTAGCAGTCGGTCTAAAAAGACTATAAGGCGCCTATTAACGTTAATCTTTTATCTCTGCCGCGTCAGCATCGCTCGATGTACTGCCGAACGTCTATTGTCTTTCCGATATCGTAGTTGGGCGGACGGTTCTCTCTTTTTCCGTTGAATCAATAAAATTTTCAACAGCACGCGTAATTGGAGTATATATTCTTGATTCAATAGCGATATTATTAAAATTAATACTTGAATTATTGAAATAATACATAATGTGATAATTTTAATATTGCCATTACATAAATTAAGATTTATTCTCTATTTCTAAATTTATCAAATAAATTTTTAAATTTATTAAATCAATGTTTAAGTTAATCAAAGTAAAACAAGAGAAGCAAGAAATTTTTATTTTATTTTATTAAACTAAAAGAATGTCATTTTTTACTAATGCAGTTAAAATAAAAATATAATTTTGTTTTTAATATATCCACATATGTATAATGAGTTTAATACATTTCCTACACATATTAGATATAGAAATGCTAAAAAGGAAAAAAAGATGGGAAAAAGAAGAAATAGTGACATCATAAAATTATTTCCTTCAATTATTGTTTCTTTTAATAATTGGATTGGTAATTTATTAATTATTATACATAAGTGTGCTTAAATATATTTCGGTCGAAATGACCGATACGCGCGCATTAACGTTGGTCTCGTTCACGCGCCCACTTCCGGGTTAATATTGCTATTTATACAAATGCAGCGAGCGTATCAATGTCAACCTTGCTACCATTGCTATTGTCGTTTTTATTGTCATTATTGTCTCAAATAAGTTTGCATTTTGCATTCAGACCAAGACAACGACGTTTCCAATCAAGGACGAAGATAATTCAGCCGTTCCGATATTTCCGATTCCATACGATCTCCCACTGCACCGATACAACGAGTGGGACACTCCTTATATCACATGAGAGAGATTTTGCTATTAGCCTTCAGCGAACACAATGATCCAGTATCAACTTTTGGAAGATGTATATAATTCATAGATATCTAAAAGTATACACCAATTATAGATAATTTGTAGTCGACCCAGTATCACATAAAGTAAACACAAAGTAAACATATAGTATCATCCATATTACAATGTCAGCTCAATCATATGGTATATTATGTTACTGTTGCCTTATAATATAACAAAGTAACAGTTATGTAATATCCCGGGTAGGAAGGTGACGTCTAAAAATGTCACCTTGCCACCTGGAATACCATATGATTGAGCTGACATTGTAATATCGATGATACTTTGTGTTTACTGGGAATAGTTATGTAACTTTGCTTGTTTGTTGACGACCTGAAACTAGTGTAACTATATTGTGTATATATAGTTGTTTAACCGATGCAACCAGTGCTTTTCTAGTTTCGCGGAATGATAGAATTGTTGTATGTTAAAAAGTTTTTGAAAAATTTGTAAATAATTTTATTTTTTTATATTTATACTACATGTATTATATTTTGTTATATTTTTATACTACTGGGGAATAATAAACGTCAGCATTTTTACATTGAAAACTGGTATTTTGCTCTTGAGATTAATATTTGACAAAAACGAGATGTGTTCAACAACAATTACTTGATCTTATCCTATTACCTTGATCTTATCCTATTTATTCGTAAAAAGAATATACATATGATAAAGAAGCTATAAGCTATTTCTTTTAAATTTGGCGGAATAGTATAAGACGCAAAGACGAGTCGATTTTTCTTTTTTTTTATTTCATTTAAAAGAAAATATTTAATGTGCCGCTAAGAATTATACTTAATTGACACATATACCAGGTGTATACCTATGAAATGCGGATTTTTTAAAGAAAAAACATGTTAATTTGAAGTGAATGGTTAAAGCTATTTATTTAAAGTATGCGCCATTCGACGCTACGACTTTTTCCCATCTTTCTGGCAAAAGATGGATTCCGCGACGATAGAAACTTTCATCTTTCGAAGCAAACCATGAATCGACCCATTTTTTCACTTCTTCGAAATTAACAAAGTGCTGCTCAGCCAATCCGTGCGCCATCGAACAAGTGATAGTCCGAAGGAGCAATATCTGGTGAATACGGCGGGTGAAGTAGCACACCCCAATTCAATTCTTTTAAAGTTTCCTTGACAACTTTTGTGGTATGGGCGCATTGTCATGTAGCAAAATTACTTTTTCATGTCTTTGGGTCCATTCCGGACGTTTTGTGATCAATGCATGATTCAAATTGATCATTTGTTGTCGGTAGCGAGCAGCATTAACCGTTTCACCAGATTTGAGAAATTCATAATAAACAATACCCTTTTGATCCCACTAAACACAGAGCATTGTCTTCTTTCCGAAGCGATTTGGTCTTGCAGTCGATGTTGATGGTTGGCCTGGATTAACCCAAGATTTCGTTTGGGATTCTCGAAATATATCTATTTTTCATCACCTGTGATGATTCGATATAGAAAACTCTTCCGTTGATGTCTTTTCAGCAGGAGTTCACTGGTGACTTCTCGATTTTCCATTTGTCTTTCGGTCAAATCGTGTGGTACCCATTTTTTTTCTTTTTGAATTTTTTCTCATCGCGTGCAAACGCTTGCTAATACTTGTTTGAGTCACATTTAATACTTCCGCCAATTGTGATTGAGTTAGAGTGGAGTCTTCGTCCAACAATGCTTGCAACACTGCATCTTCAAATTTTTTCGGTCGTTTACCCTTAGCCTTGTCTTTCACATCAAAATCACCAGTTTTGAATCGTTTGAACCAACGTTCACAAGTGTCTTGAGATGGTGCATGTTCGCCGTAAGCTTCTACAAGTATTCGATAAGTTTGAGCAGCAGTTTTCTTCAAAATAAAGTAATGAATCAAAACCTCCCGCAAATGGTCTTTTTTTGGTACGAAATTCGACATTCTCAAAGCAGAAAAAGACAATGATATTTACACTCTCACAATTTTCCACATGTATGATTTTGTAGGTTAGGAATAGCCAAACAAAATACTACATATGGCCGCGTTCCATGTACGCATATGCGCGTATTTATCTATAGTTTATGTTACGTATACTGTAGGAAATGCGCGCTTCATGCACAACTCGGAACGCACTCTATGTCAAATCACCACGCGTAAGAACGTATGTGTGGCACCATCTGTTATGGCTCCTGCACACAGGACGCGGTAATGCTTGCCGCGCGGCGGAATTCGCGCAACAGCCAATCAATATCTTGTTTTTCCGTGAGAGCTACAAGATTATTACGGAAAGCAGCATATTGATTGGCTGTCGCGTGAACTTTCGCCGCGCGGCAAGCATTACCGCGTCTTGTGTGCAGAAGCCATTAAAGCATATATATATGAAGGGGGAATGCTGGCACGAAAATGTCTCCAAGATGTGTGCGAGAGAGAAAGTTATATTCGAGAGAGAAAGTTATATTCGAGGACCGTTCTATTCGTCCTCTGTGCGCATGTGTTGAAGTTGACAGGTTAGATTAGGTTACAGAGTTGACAATAGATGTTATTTATTTTCTTCTCATAGAGCTCTGAGAATTTTTTCAGAATTTTGTATTAACTTTCTAGTACTTCAAGAAAATGCAAGAAAACGTAAAAAAAAATACAGTACTAAAAAGTTAATATAAAATTCTGAAAAAATTCTCCGAGCTTTATGAGAAAAAAATAAACAATTTTTATCTCTTGCTATTTTTTGGTAAAGTTGATAGAATTCAAGTAAAAAAAATATTGAAACCAATAATTTTGTAGTCCAGCAACAACTGATGCATGTTGGCGCATGCGCACAGAAGAGGAATAGGAATGTATACCTTTTTCTCTCGCACAGATCTTGGAGACACTTTGGTCTACAGTAGAAAACCTCTAGTACAGAGAATCGCCAACTTGGTCACGTGACCAGCTGATTGGCTGGAATAAATATATACGGATTTAGATATTGCGACGCCAATGAAGAACAAATGCTCATATATATATATATATATATATATATATATATATATATATATATATATATATATATATATATATATATATATATATATATATATATATATATATATATATATATATATATATATATATATATATATATATATATATATATATATATATATATATATATATATATATATATATATATATATATATATATATATATATATATATATATATATATATATATATATATATATATATATATATATGGTTTTGCATCGGCATCGCAATGTCCAAATCCGTATATGTTTATGCCAGTCAATCGCAGAGTAGCTGAGTAGCTGGTCACAAGACCAAATTGGCGACTCTCTAAAGGTTCTACTAAAGGTTCTCTATGGTCTGTTCTTTTCAGCTGCACTGCTGAACTGGTGCAATAAGTTAAAGTGAGACAAGTATATGTTTTCTCACTTTAACTTATTGCACCAGTTCAGCAGTGCAGCTGAAAAGAACACACCACTAGTCTACAGGAGGCGTATGCAATTCCCCCTCTATATATATATGTTCTAAGTCATCAATCGCCAATCGCTAGTGTGATACGGGCTTTAAATGATACATTGAACGGTCATAGAATACAAAAGCATTAAAAACAAAATTACATTGTATTATGCATTGTGCTATTATCTAGTTCTAGATAGATAGATAAGACATTTTTTTGTAGATTATTCACACAAGCGGCAATATTTTATTTTTAGCAATGAATACTACAGGTAACAATACTCTCTTTCTCTCAAGAATGTTATGCACATCTTTTTGCTTTAGAATATTAAAAATTACCTTCTAATGCTGCAGCAAACAGATGCCCTTTTATGGAGGAACGTTCTAGAAAGTATTTGATTTATTTTAATGAAAAATTACATTCTTGTAAGTATCTGTATACATATTTTTTTTAACATAGAATTCCATGTGTACAATTTAGATTCATGAATTTTATTTCATTTTCAGTGAAATTATTGTTAAATCAGCTGATTAGAATGATAGAAATATCAGAGGTTTTTAACTTTACATATGATGGTTGTCTTCAATTACTGGACTAGTTAAAAGTATTGCAAATGATTTTTAGAAAAGAGAAAAAAAAAATAATTTTATTCTGGTAATAACTCCAACATTTATTAAATAATAAAGATTTGCAAGAGAAAGTAAACAAACATAAAGAAATTATGGCACAAAAGAGACAAGACAAGCTTAAACAGTTGGATATAGAGGCTCAAGCTCTGTCCAGAGCTTTAAGTAATAAAGAGCATGAGGATACTAAAAACATTGAAGTTAGTAAAAATAGTCAGAGCTTTCAGTTAAGAAGGATGAATATAACAAATATAATTTTGGTGGACAAGGAAGAGAGAGAGAAGAAGGTTTTATATACAGCTGATTCTGTAATAAAACACAATGAATGTGACAGAGATAGAAGATAGATAAGCATAAAAGATAAGATAGAGTATAACAATGTTACAAAGGGAAGCCAATGAATCATTATTGACTGTCAAAACAATTCTGGAAGTAGTGAACAAAGTGAAAGTATTAGTTAACGAACATTCGTCATGGACACATCTGAAGCTTGCTGTTCTCAGAGTAGCTCTACAACCAAAAAACAAAGTGAAAAGCCAAAAATCAGCAAAAAGGGATGGGCAGACGTAATTAAAAAGTATGAAGCTTATGATAATGATAAATACAGAAAAATAATACAAGACACATTTATTAAATTGTTGAGAGATAAAGGGTACAATATTGCGGAAGCAGGAAGATTTGCAGTAAAACATGACTTCTCAGCGCCTTACCATTTATTTTTCACAAGAGTGGACTCATCAAAGAAAACTTACGATCAACATAACTCTATAACTTTTCCCGAGATTCTTGACAAAAGTCTTGGAGTGATAGTCAACAGTCTTCATCTGACTTTCAAAGTAGACATCACATGGTTGTGTATACAATACATGTTGGCTGGCCAGCGTACTAACATGATGATTCTGTATGGTGATAGAACAGATAAGACAGAATTGGGTGACAACATCACTGCAATACAAATGAAGAAGCCATCTAATTTTGGATGCCATCATACCAAGATTACTATTCTGCAGTACAGTAATGGTGGGATTAGGGTAGTCGTCTCTACTGCCAATTTATTCTCTAAAGACTGGGAGGACAAGACACAAGGGTTTGTTCCAAATCGGGTATAATTTGAACAAATTTTTCTAAAGTTTCATCCATATTATATTTAATCCTAATTTCCAATTGTCCAATCTTTATAGAAATGTAATACTGATAAGTAATAATTTTATTACTCGTACGAGTAATAAAATTATTGAACGACAGTAATTATCACTGGCCAAATTATTACTTATCAGTATTACATTTCTATAAGGGAACTTCAAGAATCTGTAAAATACTTATAAACATTTCTTACTGGTGATATGATATTTATGGTTAAACTTCTATTATGTTCTTATCACAGATTATGGATTTCGCCTCATTTACCTCCGTTACCGGAATACGCGAATCTTAGTGAAGGAGAGTCAGGAACGAATTTTAAAAAGGACCTCCGCAAATATCTGAGTAAATACGAGAATCCTGCTTTGCATCAATGGATAGAGATAGTGAAGAGGGCGAACTTTTTTGACGTAAATGTGTTTCTCGTCGCATCTGTTCCTGGGGATTATAAACCTAATATTACCCGTTGGGGACACAGGAAATTGTCGCGTATTCTGTCCCATTATGCAGCGTTGCCAAAGGACGCATCGAAGTGGCCTCTAATTGCGCAAAGTTCCAGCATAGGCAGTCTCGGTTCAAGTTACAAGAAGAGCTGGTTGTCGGAGGAGATAGTTGTCTCTATGTCGCACCCGCAGAAAACCACGCAGGAATCAAAGAGACCGGAGTTTAAGTTTATTTATCCGTCGTTAAAGAATTACAAGCACAGCTACGATTGCAATAGGAGCTTCTGCCTATCTTATAGCATGGATATGCATGACAAACAGAAGTGGATAGAATTGTATTTATAGTAAGTTTTATTTGCTTTTTATAACAGAGTTGTGGAAGTTATTTGTTACAAATAATTTGTGTGTTATATATTCACAACCCACTGAAAGAATTTTACTTAAAAAATCCAAAACAAAGAAATTCATAAAAATATATACAAATTTTATTAAAATATCGTATGACTTTATTTGAACTTATTATTTCTATCAGAATATTCTATTTCAGAATCAGAAAAATTCGAAAATTTCTGTAATGCTACTTTGATTTTTCTCATTTAAACTTAATGTAAAAAAGTTATCTTTTCTATATCGCGTAACTTATTTTTAACGATTAAATATTTATTTGAATACACGTGTTTTTTTCTATATGTAATTTTATTTATTTTTTTATCAAAAACACGATTTAGTTACATAGATCTTTCTTATATAATTTTTGTTATATAATACTTGTACTTTTATCAAATCTTTTAAGCAGGGAACTCATTATCATTAACTCTTTCTCCCTTGCCTCATTATTTTGACAAATAACTTGTTATTATTATCGTTATTCTAGAAGTAACGGGTCATTACAACTTTCGTTAAATCTTTCACTAAATTCTAAAGACAATTCTCTTATAATTCTCAGCTCATGTAAATTTTACATATGTAAAATAACGACAAAATATTGTTATCGTTACGATGAAAGATACCGTCGATACAAAGACGGTTATTATTGACAAAAGCGTCACTTGTAACATGTGATAATTGTTACAAATGTTACAAATAATGCGTTACTTCCCAACACTACTTTTTAATTTTTCTTTGGAAACAACATGTTATTTCTATAGCTAGACTTTTATGATTATATGCAGCCAGTGGAGGGCGGAGAGAACAGGACGGACCCGGGCGATGCCTCATATTAAATCCTACACGAGGGTCTCACCCGACCTGAAAAGAATTCTCTGGTTCGTGCTGACCAGCGCGAATCTCAGCAAAGCCGCGTGGGGAGTCAAGCAAGAAAACAAATATTCTATAAAAAATTTCGAAGCCGGCGTTGTGTTCCTACCAAAGTTCATTGTGAGTGTCATCATTAGCACACCTTATCATCATCGACGAATAAAACTTCTCAGCCGTTTAACCCGGGAGTGGGTGCGTATCGGTCATTTCTCCGTACTTTTTCGTTTTCTACTTATATCATTTAATCTATTGACATTATCGTATCTTCGCATTTACGTAAATTTTCTTTGATGTTTTCGCGTATAGCATGGAGAAGTAGACGCGCTTATTTCTATGTGAAATTTGATACGTTTTTAGCAGTCTGTCTAAAAGACTATAGCGCGCCTACTAACGTTAGTCTTTTATCTCTGCCGCGTCAGCATTACTCGATGTGCCGCCGAACGTCTATTAGCTTGGTTTACATCGTGCACTTGATACGCGTACTAAATAGTAACTTTCTATTAGATTATCTTAACATTGACGATATATATAAACAATAGTATATTAAGCTAGTATAATACTCATCAACAAAACGTATTGTATTGATTGAATGCGTCGTCGTTGATATGCATTATCGATATTAAGATTATCTAATAGAAAATTACTATTTAGTACACGTATCAAGTGCACGATGTAAACCAAGCCATTGTCTTTCCGACATCATTAAATAGGAACGTCCGAGCATCGAGCGTTAAAGCGTTAGTCAATCAACGTATCAGGTTTCAGAAGTATATTGTAGTTCTTGCGGAAAGTGGTACGTTGATTGGCTACCGTTTTAACGCTCGACGCTCGATACTCCCATGTAAAGGCACCTTAAAGCCTGTTTTTGTAACTGCACTGCTGAACTAGTACAATAAGTTAAAGTGAGAAAACGTATATTTGTCTCACTTCAATATATTGTAGCAGTTCAGTAGTTCAGCAGTGCAACTATAAAAAACAGGCCTGTAGTTGGATGGACGGTTCTCTCTTTTTTCGTTGAATCAATAAAATTTTCAACAGCACGCGTAATTGGAGTATATATTCTTGATTCTCTCTCTCTCTCTCTCAATAGCGATATTATTAAAATCAATACTTAATTATTGAAATAATACATAATGTGATAATTTTAATATTGCCATTATATAAATTAAGAAGATTTATTCTCTATTTCTAAATTTATCAAATAAATTTTTAAATTTATTAAATCAATGTTTAAGTTAATCAAAGTAAAACGAGAGAAGCAAGAAATTCTTATTTTATTTTATTAAACTAAAAGAATGCATTTTTTACTAATGCAGTTAAAATAAAAATATTATAATTTTGTTTATAATATATTCACATATGTATAATAAGTTTAATATGTTTCCTAAACATATTAGATATAGAAATGCTAAAGAGAAAAAAAAGTTGGGAAAAAGAAGAAATAGTGACATCATAAAATTATTTCCTTCAATTATTGTTTCTTTTAATAATTGGATTGGTAATTTATTAATTATTACTTAATTATTATACATATATATGCTTAAATATATTTCGATCGAAATGACCGATACACGCGCACTAACGTTCGTCTCGTTCACGCGCCCACTCCCGAGTTAATATCGCTATTTATACAAATGCAGCGAGCATATCAATGCTTTGCTACCATTGCTATTGTCGTTTTTATTGTCATTGTTGTCTTAAATAAGTTTGCATTTTGCATTCAGACCGCGACAACGACGTTTCCAATCAAGGACAGAGGTAATTCAGCCGTTCCGATATTTCCGATTCCATACGATCTTCCATTGCACCGATACCATGAGTCGGATACTCCTTGTATCACACGAAAGTCTTTGCACAGCTATCAGCCTTCAGCGAACACTGATCCAAAATCAATGGTCCAGAATGAACTTTTGGAAGATGAATATAATTAATAGATATTTAAAAGTATACACCAATTATAGATAATTTATAGTCTACCCAGTAAACGCAAAGTGTCATCCATATTACAATGTCAGTTATGTAATATCCCAGGTAGCAAGATGACGTCTTTAGACGTCACCTTGCTATCTGGGATACCATATGATTGAGCTGACATTGTAATCGATGATACTTTGTTTTTACTGGGAATAGTTATGTAACTTTGCTTGTTTACCGGCTTTGGACCGCGTCTTCCTTGTGTTTGGTTTCATGGATGTTTCATGAATATTTCGTTCACTTCTTCAGGGAGCAGGACGACCTGAAACTAGTTATGTAACTGTTCAATCGATGCAATCAGGGCTTTTCTAGTTTCGCTGTATGACAGAGTATTGTTGTATGTTAAGAGGATTTATGAAAAATTTGTAAATAATTTGATATTTTTTTATATTTATACTATATGTATTATATTTTGTTATATTTTTATATCACTGGGGAACAATAAACGTCAGTATTTTCGCATTGAAAACCGGAATTTTGCTCTTGAGATTAATATGATAGAAACGAGATATGTTCAACAACAATTGCTTGGGTTTAGATCTTATCCTATTTATTCGTAAAAAGAACATACGTAAGATAAAGAAGCTATAAGCTATTTCTTTTAAATTTGGCGGAATAGTATAAGACGCAAAGACGAATCGATTTTTCCCTTTTTTATTTCATTTGAAAGAAAATATGGTAATTATCCAGTTTAGCGGCCTCACCTCCGATTTCGATGAAAGTAGGCTCAATCGACGCGTTTTTGCATGCCAAATAACTTTTTCCTCTGACAAAATCGTCGCTCTCTACTGCGAAGCGAGATATTAATAGACAAAGTTGAGGACGTGTTGGATTAGAAAATCTGTCATACTATCTATCTCTAGCTATGTAACTGAGGGGCTTTGCCCCCCAGACCCCCCTATCACAGGGGGTGAGGGCTACAGTCTTTTGTGAGAAATTCACTCTTTAGCTTAATTAAGCATAAGAGACTATAGCCCCCATCCCCCCTGATTTTGTCAGAGAAAAAAGTTATTTGGCATGCAAAAACGCGTCGATCGAGCCTACTTTCATCGAAATCGGAGGTGAGGCCACTAAACTGGATAATTACCGAAAATATTTAATGTGCCGCTAAGAATTATATTTAATTGACACATATATTTATATATATTATGTCTAATTTAAAATAAGACCGAGTCGAGACCTGCTCGGACGCGGGCTTGGCGCCATTTAGCCGTGTCGCAGAGAAACTTGTTAGATCCGTTATATGAGGTTTGTTCGCGTTGTACTTTTGATATTTTTATATCTAATCCCCGTTGCACACTGACCTCATTTTAGAAAGAAGTATCTTCAGATACTTCGTAACCAATGAAATGATCCGTATAGCATCTGAAGATGAACTTAAAACAGTCTTAAATATAAGATCCTACTATGAATAGCGGCCTAATGGCTCCTGCACACAGGACGCGGTAATGCTTGCCGCGCGGCAGAAGTCCGCGCGACAGCCAATCAATATGTTGTTTTTCCGTAAGAGCTAGAAGGTTATTACGGAAAGCAGCATATTGATTGGCTGTCGCCGAACTTCCGCCGCGCGGCAAGCATTACCGCGTCCTGTGTGCAGGAGCCATAAGTGCAAAAACGTCAAAAGTGCAAGCAACGCGAACAAACCTAATTGAAAAGCAGGAACAGAAAGGCAGAAGCGAATCAGAACTTCTACTGATGGTCAGGTGATAGTCGCGACAGTTTCTGCTTTTCTACCAGCGCGAATTCTGATTGGCTCCTGTTTTCTATCTTTCTGCTAAAATATGAATTAGGGATGGGCAAAAAGAATTGATGTTTAGAAACATCGATGTTCGCTCATTGAGGATAGTATTACATGTAGAGAAAATGTTAGAATCTCTAGAAATTCTCTATCCGACAGCCAATCGGTGCACGACTCTCTACATGTAATACCATCCTCAATGTACGAACATTGATGTTTTCTAAACATTAATTTTTTTGCCCATCCCATAGTGTGAATTCTCTCTTAAGCAGGAAACACACACTCTTGCATAAGGCATAATGCATAACGCATAAAAAAATTGACCAATCAGAGTCCTCCATTTTCATTGTGGCAATAGAAAAGATTCTGATTGGTCAATTTTCTCATGCGTTGTGCATTATGCTTTTATGCAAGAGTGTGTGCTTTTCGCTTAATTTTTATACTGTAAATGGTGAAAGGTCCATAATAGAAGGACTGTATACCAATTTGGAAGGAAGGAAGGAAGCTTAATTTTTATCAATTCTACGAGCTGTTATCTGTCTTAAGCCCCATCTACATAAGACGCAGAACGCGGGTCGCAGGTCGCAAGAAACAAACGCTGGATCGTAAGATTTTTGCCTTAATGTACGTTTGTTGAGACCTGCGACCCGCGTTCTGCGTCTTATGTAGATGGGGCTTTAAGCAAAAATGTTACGGCCCAGCGTTTGTTTCTTGCGACCTGCGACCCGCGTTCTGCGCTTATGTAGATGGGGCTTTATGGCGTGCTTCCGTCAAAATTTTTACATTACGAAATTAGCATTCTAACGTATTGTAACTTAGAAGGAATGTGTGTATAAAATTTATCATATATTGGCTGTTAGGTTGGGCAACTGTCATATGAAAACAGAGCTAATTATAAGTCTGTTTTCTATTACTGAACTAATGTACACTTTCGGAACTTAAAAAGAAACAGATATACAGATATACAGATAAAATTTGGTGGAAGAAAGATGAGAGAAAATTAGTGCAGCCCGTTCACACAGCAATAAAAACACTATATTACTTATCGTGCTGTAATCCAAATATATAAAAACTATTTTTTTGTAAACATAAATATTATTTTATACTAATTACTGTCAGTATTTTATTTACAGCAATGAGTGCTGCAGGTAACTGTTCAAGAATATTATGTATGTCAAATTTTTGAATTTTGGAGAAAATACTAAAATTTATTGTTTACTATTGCAGTGAAAAAATGTTGCCCCTTTAAGGAAAGTTGTTATAGAAAAAATCCGATTCACTTTAGTGAAATGTCACATCCTCATTGTAAATAAATTTGTATTCTTTTGGTCATATAGATTCTGGGTCATACAATAAAGATTCATGATTTTTATTTTATTTTCAGTGGAGAAATTAGTGATAAATCAACTGGATGATGTGATAGAAATACCAGAGATTCTTAACTTCACATGTAATGATCGTTCTCTATTGCTGGATCAATTGAAAGTATTGCAAATGGTTCTTAGAAAGGAGAGAGACAAAAACAGAGATGATTCCAAGCTAGCAACAAGTAATGAACTGCCCAAAGCACAATCTTTATTAAATGATAAAGAAGATTTGCAAGGAAAAGTAGACAAACATAAGAAAGTAATGGCACAAAAAAGACAAGATAAGCTTAAGCAGATGGATACAGAAGCTCAAGCTCTGTCAAGAGCTTTGAGAAATGAACATGAAAGTTCAGAAAATACCAAGGTTAGTAAAAAAATTAGAGTTTTAAGTTATGGAAGATCAATATAATGAATACATCATCTTCGTAGACAAGAAAGAGGAGTCACAGTTCAACTGGCTCTGTGACAAAGAAAATGAAAGAAATCAATATAGAAAGTAGCAATCATATTAAGAAAAATCAACAGATCATTGGTGACTCGCAGAGCAGTTCCACAAGCAAAGAACAAACAGACAAAAACAAAGGAACCAATAAAGATACCAGTAAAGGAACGTCTATAATGGACATGTATCAAGCTTGCGATTCTGAAAAGTCCAGGAAAGATGTTCGAGAGAAAGCTATTCAAATGATGAGACGGTCTGGGTATAATGTATCTGTTGTGGAACCAGGAGAATTTGCATTAAAATATGCTCTCTCAGCACCTTACCACCTATTTTTCACCCGAGTTGAAAAATCAAAGGAAACTTACAATCAACAATTCTCCATAACTTTCCCTGAGATTCTCGATAGAAGTCTCGGGGAGATAGTCGACAGTCTTCATTTGAATTTCATGGTAGATGTTGGATGGCTGTGTTTGCAGTATTTGTTGGCTGGCCAACGTACTGATATGATGATACTGTACGGTGATAGAGTGGATCAGGAAAATTTGGGCTGCAACATCACCATGATACAAGTGGATATGCCGAGTGCGTTTGGATGCCATCACACTAAGATCATGGTCTTGCAGTACAAAGACAACGGAATCAGGGTGGTCGTCTCCACTGCTAATTTGTACTCGGACGACTGGGAGAATAGGACGCAAGGGTTTGTTCCAAATCAGTCATTATTCTACTGCTGGATCAATTGAAAGTATTGCAAATGATTCTTAGAAAGGAGAGAGACAAAATCAGAGATGATTCCATGCTTTTATTTCGGAAAAATTTCTCGATATTTTAATATTTTAACGTTCACGTATTTATGACTTTATTTTGTTAGTTGTTATTTATGAAACACAGACACAGTGGTGTGTGTGCAGGTAGAACTGAACAAATTGGAGGAAAATGTCCTATATCATTTTGCAAACAACCACGTACAATTTTGAGCTATTAAAGAAGGTTGATGAATCGCGCTTGATAGAACGTGATAGTAAGTTGTTAGCTTATTAGCTTAGACTGAACAAAAAAGTCTTCTGCTACTTTGTAAATAACTATAGATTGCACGCGATTCTTTGCTTTCTTTAATTAATAACTCAAAAAGATATGTAGTTATTTGCAAAAAGGTAGAAGATTTTTTGTTTGATCCAATATACAAACAATGGATATTGTACTTATTGTCACCCATTATACCGAATTCAGCCCGATTATTTATTAATCTCCTTTAATTAATAATTCAAAATTTTACGTGGTGGTTAAAATGGCGTGAGATCTTTCAGTATGATGAGTTCTACCTGCACTGTCGTGTCTCGAATTAGACACTCTGTATAAAGATAAATTTATTGATTTACGTGTAAAAAGGATATCTCTTTTTTTAAGTAGGATCTAAGTGAGCTTTCAAAATCTGTTGACATAAGATAGATATTTTTCCATACGTGTGCTCATTAAAGTCTTAAGTTCGTCGTAGTCATTAAAGTCTATTCGTCTACTCGTTTTAATTCTAATTTATCCAACTTTAAGGATCTGTTGAATACTCATATTCTTATATTTCTTGTCGATGGTATGATGTTTATGATTAAATATGTTTCTGTTTTGTCATAATCGTAGATTGTGGATTTCGCCTCACTTGCCTCTATTGCCGGAATCCGCGAATTCCACGGACGGAGAGTCGCCAACCAATTTTAAAAAAGACTTCGAGCGATATCTGAGCAAATATAGACATCCGGCTTTAACGCAATGGATGTGGGCGGTGAGGAAGGCGGATTTTTCCGCCGTAAATGTGTACTTTGTCGCCTCTGTGCCTGGGACTCATCAAAATGTGGACGTTGACTTTTGGGGATACAGGAAATTGTCGCGCATTCTGTCTAATCACGCCACGCTGCCGCCGGACGCGCCACAATGGTCTCTAATCGCACAAAGTTCCAGCATAGGCAGTCTCGGCCCGAACTATGAGAGCTGGTTATCGAAGGAGATAGTTCCTTCCATGTCGCGGGAAACCACACAGGGCCTAAAAAGCCACCCAAAATTTCAATTTATTTATCCGTCGATGGAGAATTACAAGCGGAGTTTCGACTTCCAAACTTTGACATCTTGCTTGCCTTACAGCTTGAAGGTGCACTCCAAACAGCAATGGATAGAATCGTACATGTAGTAAGCTTCATTTGTTACTTATAACAGGATTGGAAAGGTTCTTTAAAAATAATTTGTTGCTAGTGTTACTCATTGAAAAAATGGCTGTCAAAATTCGACACAGGAAGCTGCTTTGCAATTGTGAGATTCATGAATGGTGTATACTCTTAAGGATCGTCTTAAAATCGTTTGTGCACTAGTTTGTGAATTGATCATGTGTCTATTTCTCTCGCGTAAACTCGTGAAAAATGAGAAGTTTTATTAACGAATTAAACTTTTTATTTTTCGAATATAACTTTTTAAAATATAACTACAACATTAGATGACCTTTTAATCTTAACTAAATGTAAGAGTATATACCAATTCACGGATTTTGCAGCACTTGCAAAGCAAATTTTTCTACTGAACGTAGCCAATGATTTGCTACCATCATGCATTTTAAGAAATAACTCGTTATTGTTGCGAGGGAAGCAACGAGTCGTTACAATCTCTAGTACTTTTCTCACAAAACCATTTTCTTATGATTATCATCCCCTTGTTGTTATAATCGATGAAAAATAATGTCGTCAACAAATCGCTATTGACAAGAGTGATTTGTAATGGCAACTGTTACACGTAATATGTTATACTTCTCAATTGAGTTTTTAAATTTTGCGTTTGAGACAGCACGGTGTTTCTACGGTCGGATTTTTTGTTACATATCTAGCCAGTGGAAAGCGCAGCGAACGGGACGGGACCGGGCGATACCTCATATTAAAACCTACATGAGGATCTCGCCCGACTTGAAAAACATTCCCTGGTTCGTGTTGACCAGCGCGAATCTCAGTAAAGCCGCGTGGGGAGTGCAGCGAAGCAACTATTATATAATGAACTACGAGGCCGGCGTTGTGTTCCTACCAAAGTTCATCGTGAGTGTCTTTATTGCCGGCACACCTGAAACGATTTGAATAACTTATTGACCGCTTAATGTCGCATTATTCATACAAATGTAGAGAGCATACCAATGTCAACCTTGCTATCATTGTTATTATTGTGTTCTTATTGTTATTGTTATTTCAAACACGTTTGTATTTTGTATTCAGACCGGGACAACGACGTTTCCGATCGAGGACGAGGAGGATCCGGCCGTTCCGATATTTCGGATTCCATACGATCTTCCATTGTGTCGGTACAACCCGACCGACAGTCCTTTTGTCAACGAGTTCTTCAGTACTCACGGCTAATCGTAGGCGGTGATTTTTCAGCCAATGCAACCGCAGTTTTTTTTCAATTTCTTCTGCGCGTCCGAGTATTTTTGCATGATAAAAGACCTCATGGAAAACTCGTGAATAAATTCACACGCATTTGTATTTATCCATACGTGTTACTGTGTTGTCTCTTTACAGCGTTGAAAAACAATAAACGTCGATATTCGCATTGCAAATCGGAATCTCGCCCTTGAGAGAGATTTATATTTGACAGTGAGCGAGTGGTGTGCTCGACAAGCACAAGCAAATCACTCGGGTTTTGAACATTTCCATCATATTCATGAGAGTCCGTCGCAAAAAAAAAGACCACGAGAGAGAAAAAGCGAACGAACATATGGGAAAAATAGAAGCGGGAACGTCAGCGGGAATTCTCACATGATACGTGACTTTTGTTCTCCGACTCGATATCGCGGCGAATTCGTGCCGCCCACCGCATCGTGGACACGTTTTCCATAAAACATCAGCAGGAAAGTGCTTCCTCGACGCGAGGGTCGAAACGTCGTCTCTCCTTGTGGTGTTAGTGCCGCCTGTCCTGTGCATGCTCAGCCTTCAAACGGGTTTTAATCGAGTCGCCGTGCTCCGTATGTATCCGCGCGACAATTAATTGAACTGCGTACTTTTTGTCGCCAAAGCGCGCGCGGTTTGTATCGACAGATGTCAGATTCCGCGCGTATCTTCTCGAATTGGACTTAACACGGAAGATCTGTTACTAACCGCATCGTGTGAAGTGCGCGTGTGAAGTTACTTGTTCCCGCGCGGATTTTCACAAGAACGAAATTGCGAAACTAGTGAGTAAATAAGGAGTAAATATTTGACATTACAATGGCAACGGCACATACGTATCCTAATATATAACCTTTGCTCATATTCGCACCTAATTTCAACGCGCGTACTCTTATCTCTCGCCGAGTTAACACGTTTACTTTGAGGTAATCAGTGCAAACACCACTTCCGTCAGCAAACACATTTCAAGTGGTTCCGCAAAGTCATGCTTTTCTATCGATGATAACATCACTTGGCAACAATCTCGCCGTAGAGATCCGTCCAGATCGCTGATAAAACTCCAACTTAACATATAAATTCAGTAATTAATTCTTTTGCGGATATATATATATATATATATATATATATATATATATATATATATAAAATTTAAAGCTCTTGATCTACTCACATCGGCTGTTTTTGTTTGATGACGCCAGACGCGAGAAATTACGTGCTTTTGATTCTTACGCGCGCGTTATACGTTGAAATAAAAAAAAATATCCATAAAATGGAACTTGTCATTCAGCAAATTTGTAAAATACTCCGAACATTATGCAATTTAAATAAACCAAACTTTTCTCATCATTTCTATTATGTTAATTTTATGTCTGTTTATTGATTGAGACAGCAAGAAGAGTATTTGGAGCATTTTACAAATTTATTGAGACGATTACAAGAGTGTCATTACATGGATATTTTATTGTAACAAAAAAATTGTAAGTATGCGATTTTTCGTTTTATTTGCAAAATGATAGAGGACTTTTTCGTTTGAGGATAGTTTGATCTAATGTATAAGTAGGATCGGTGCTCCATTTATGGCCACTTCAAGGAACCTTCGAATTATTTAGTCTATGATTCATGTTCGCGTTACGTAAGTGGCAATATTTTGTTTTTACAGTATTTTTGTTGGTCATACTGCTCGTTAACGAATGTAGAATTTTCTTTCTTTTTTAACTAAATATTTATAACTGAAGATAAACGACTACTACATTTTCTTGTGCAAAGCGTTAAGGATACGAGATAAGATAAACGTTAGAATTACTATATAATTATTATATAAAAGACATGATTGTAAATAAATGTTTCTATAATCGGTTTACGGAAAGTCTAAAAGTTAATTTCAATATGTATAACTATGTATTTGATTCCTATTAAGCAAAAAATAATAGGTGTCGAAAACTAGATCATGTATTAATATAATGCTCTATTTTTGGCGATAGGGTGGCCAGAACTGGTTGTTGTGTTGTTCTAGTTGTGGCCAACAAAAATAACGAATGTCTATTGTGTAAAATTATAAAATTTGTGGCACTATAAAATTCATGCTCTGGTTTTTACTGGCCCTCACTATTATGCTTTGAAAAATTATAAAAGTATAGTACAGCTATTTGTCTGGAAACAAACTTTATATATATATACATAATTACACATTGTAAATACACTTATTTTTATGTTTCTTTAAATGGATAATAAGAAAAATCGTTTTATTAAAAAGAAAACTTCAGAGATAAACACACATAAAAGAAAACTTTTTACGTATTTACCATAAAAAACAAAAGATGCTAATATATATATATATATATATATATATATATATATATATATAAATTATTGAAAATAAATATTAACATTAAGATATTAACATTAAACCATAATTTTTATTGCATATACTTTTTTATTAATTGTTTCATTATAAATTAATCTCAATTTCATTATGTGGCCAGAACAGGTACTTATTATGGCAAGAACTGGTGTTATGGTGACCAAAAACGTGAAATCGGACATTATAAGTATTATTTTTTAAAAATGTGTTTAATTTATTTTGCTTATCTGTCTTAAATTTATTATTTAAAGATTCTTAATAATATATATAATAATATTTATAATAATAATAATAATAATAATATATATATAATATTTCTTAATAATATATATAATATATTAAAATAATTAAAGATATTAGATAACGAAGGGAATTAAATTAAGACGCGTTTATTTCGTCGAAAATCCTTACAGTGGCCACAAATGGAGCATCGACCCTATATAACTGCAGGTTACACCACTACCATATCGCGCGTGATCATTCACTAATCCTTTTTAATTAATATTTCGAGATCTATTGCGAATATCGCAAAACGGAGACTTTTAGGTTCGTCTTAATCCGTTCTGTGTTCCTACAAAAATTGCGGAGGAGAGTCTGGGATATCCCGTATAAAGATACATAAATTATATCCTTTCCTTCAATCAGACTGCTATTTCGTACGCAGCAACCTTATTCATCGGAGCGGTTTACCTTGTTTTGCAATTGATTAAAAATCGCGAGAACAACGTCAAAGTTGTCACTCTGAGTCTCCCACTAAAACTACATCCGACTTCCTAGCCGAGTCGGATGTTCTCGGCGCAGATGCGGCTTTCTGGAAGGGATCTGCCGGGGACGGCGGCTAGCGAGGACGTCGATCACCAGTACGCGAGATGTCATCGACTGGGTAGGATATCTCGCCATCAGGTGTGTCCTGGTGTCCTTTATTGCGCATCTCTCTCTCTTTTTCTTTTCCTTTCTCTCGGAAAATCTCACTGGAAGATTCGTGAATTCCCGCGCGAAATTTCCACCGCGCGAGAGGGTTGTCGGGGGCGTCGCGCCGAGTGTCAAATGGGGAAAAATCGTCGAAAGTGACGACTACATATGTGCATATGTGTGTGTGTGCGTGCTGGATAGAGATAGAATAAAAGAGAAAAAGAGAGAAAGGGGATGAAGACGAATTCTCCTCGTGTATAGATATTTTCGGGAGGAACAACATGATGAGCCGGAAACGTGTCTCGCCTGATAATGCGCCAGCAAACGCGAAAGCATCGAAAGTAGGTTTTTGTATGGTTGTGATGTCTTGTCGCGTCGTTTCGTCTGGATTTCTATCGAATTCCATTCGGCTCAGGAGGAAAAGAATCACCGGCGCTAATCGCGTTCGATTCAATCGCTTTTCTTGCCATTTACTTGTGAATCGTTATTAATTACTTACGAATCGAGGGATGAAACGAAGTTTTTCGTGCCTGTTCCGCGTGACACTTTAATTAGCCTATCGTTATTTTTTATTTATAAAGGATTATTTGTAGTGTCATTTTAAAGCGTTAGGATTTATTTATAGAGCAACCGATTAAATCAATGCACATTTTTCTTCAGACCATTAGCAAGATTATTGGCAGGCAATCAGCCTGATGTGGCGGATTATTGACGCCAACATCGCGCTTTGTTTTGGTGCAAATACCGAGGCAATCGCTGACAATTAGCTATCGGCATAAAATCGATTAGAGCCGGTGTGTCAAAATTTATATATCTACATATATATTCGTAAATTTTATACAAACTTAAAACAAATGTGAATATTTATAAGCGTGACGTGTAAATAATCACACAGCAGAGAGTTTGAATAAAATTATTGCTATTCACTACTCACGAAATTCCGCAGACAAGCAGACAAGAATTAGCTGCGGCAGCAAGAACAAGACTGCGTACGTCAGCTAAATCTTGTTGTAACATATGAATACACCTGAAAGCATGATTGCCAGCAGATATATATTCAGCTATAAAACCGATGTAGTAACAATAGTAGCAAAAATTTTGGTTATAGCAGCAAATCTTTATTTACAATAGCAAATATATTTTTAATAAACCATGATTAGTTGCGGCAGAGAGAAATCTTTTGTTTTCGTATGTTATCTTTCATTATCTTATCGTTATCGTTATCGTTATCTTTTGCTTTCGTGTTAAATATCAAAAAGAAAGAAATATCCAAAAGTAAGAATAATAATATATAAGATCCTTAATATATTTGGATATTCTAAAGCTGTAACGTGGCAAATAAAATAATTCTAGGTAGCACAAAACATCCTGAGATTATGTTGAATGTATTCAGGACTCAGGACATCTTAAGGCATTCTGCAGGATATCCTAGATACATTCAGAACGATTCTGACTTTTGTGCTGTCTGTGTGGGAATATTTCTTCTTCAAGTTTCCGTCTGTTTAGCAGATTTCCATGTTTATGTTCTTTATTTTACACGCGTTCCTTATACATGCAGCAATAATATTATTTACGTTAACAGCTACTAATTGATAAAATAGCGGGGGAATTATTAAGAACGCTATTCTTCGAGAGTATCAATAGCATTGAATAGAAAAAAATATATAAATGTATAATTAATATAATGAGCATATAAATTTATATTAATATATTTATTACATATAAAGTAAATTATGTTACATATAGAATAAATATGTAAAAGTTACTATTTAATTTATTGCATAGAATAAATGCAAATTTATATAAAATATAAATATTATCGAGTGCATCATATTATTGCGGTCGACATTTACAGTTTGATTTTTTCAAAATTCTGATTTTTTAAAAATTTTCTCAAAATTTCGTGATCGAATTCAAGTTTGCGACATGAATTTCTGTCAATAAGGACGACAAGGCGTGCGGGATGAAGGTTTAAACGTCGTTGGCGCGGCCGTGAATCGCCCCATGGTTCTCCGAAACGCCTGCAGCACAGGGTGGCCTGCGTTTTTATTGACGAGAAGGGAGAAACTCCAACGAACGCCATCAACCTCTTCTCCCCCTTGCCAGACGAATCGATAAACCGCTGCTGCGAGATATCGCGGCGGCGGCGTTGGCGGCAGCGGCGGCGAAGACGACTTTCCGAAGTACCAAGGCGAGACGGAAAAGCCGTCGGTTTCGCAGCGATTCTCGCGGAGCAACGACCGGTCGGGATGGTAGTGACGTGCTGGGTCATCGTCGGGGTGCTCGCCACCGTTGTGCTGCTCTACGGCCTCGTCGAGCTGCACTACTTCCTGCGCATGTTCCTCACCGTCTTCCTAGCGCGCTACTGCAAGAAGAGGGTGAACATCCTCGACGAAACAGTGATCTATGGTGCGTGAGTCACCCTTAGAATTGTCATCCGCTGAGCTTTTGTTCGACGCGACAAAAGCATGCATTTTCATGCATATAGAGCGAATTCTTCACTTCGAATCCGTCCAGTGAATATTTCCATTCGAAACTGAGGAATAACTCTGATTCATCTTTCATCTGATGCATCGTTATATATTCATTCTAATCGACTGAAACAATTCGCGCACATGTGGAGTTAGAATCCACTCTAAGCTTGAATGAAACATTCACTCTTGCAATTCCGGGTTACTTCCATTATTTATCTTCGAGTGAAGATACTGTTACTATTCCCCCGTTTCGAGTGAAATTTCACTCTAAGAAATTTTTTACCCGGTATTAATGAGTGGAGGCGAAAAATGCGAGGAACAATTGCTGCACCGCACAGTATATGCACTCGAAGAAAAGAATATCATATATTAATTTTGTCTCTTCTATATGTGATCATATATATAGTTATGCATAATTACATATGCGTGTTCATGACGAAAAAATATCGTTATACAAATACCATTGAAGTAGATGCTTATGCTTCTGGTAGCACATGATGTCGACGTTTAATTGAATAAAACTATTTCTTCCTTTTTTCATTTACACTGAGGGAAAAATTACTTTAAAATCAACAAATATTTCTTACAAATATTTGGGTGCCATTAACATATTTACTTAAATCTAAATTCTCTTTATTTAAATCAAGTATTGTTTATCTGATTTAAGTAAACAATATTTAATTAAAGTGGAATTCTGTTGGCAAAATAGAATAACCATCGACTCACTCGAATTCGAATAATTTTTCACGCATATAGAGCGAATTTTTAATTCTGAATCGTCCAGTGAATATTTTCATTCGAAATTGAAGAATAAATCTGATATATCTTTCATCGTTACAGATACATTCTAATCGACTGAAACGATTCGCGCGCATATGGAATCCACTCTAAGCTCGAATGAAACATTCACTCGTGTAATTTCAAGTGATACTTCCATTATTTATCTTGGAGTGAATATACTGTTATTATTCCCCCGTTTTGACTAAAATTTTACTCCAAGAAATTTAAGAAGTAGTAATGTCCATTCCTTTTTCTGCTTCTTCTCTTTCATAAAACTCGTCCAGAGCGGCCTGAGTTTTTCTGCTGGCTACGCGAGCTTCCTTGGTCGCTTTGTAATGTTTACGCTCGGCGATCCGCAATCGCTTATAGTCTCGTTTGTTGGCGAATTGATTACTGGGCCTATGATGATTCCTATTGTCTGAAAAACTTCCAGAATTGCGTAGTGGCCTTTATTTAATATGCTGACGGCCAGATGATTGGCAATATAGGCGTGTTGCTGCCTAAACAACATTCCAATAGATCAGTAGATAAACCCTCATAAACCAGTTTAAGCTCGGTTGTACCAACGTTATTTTGGTTTTAAGTGACATTTAAATATATGTCTATCTTTATTTATATACTGTAAAAACTGATGTGTTAAATGTAACACATTTTATGTATCCCAAATCATCCACTCTCATTTATGTGTAAATTTAACACAAAATAAATGTGTTAAAAAATAACACGCATAATATGAAAAAAATTAACACAAGAATTTAACACTTGAATACCGTTCACAGGTAGGAATAGGAATCACAGGTTGTGTTAAATTGACATATTTAAAATGTCAGACATAGATGATATCAATTTGACATTTTCATTTTATCTCAAAACCATAGATTAATACTTCTCTCAAATGTTAAAGTAACGTTTTATTTTAGTTAATTTAACATTATACATACGTCAATTTAACACAAACTGTGATTCCTGATAATATTCAAGTGTTAAATTCTTGTGTTAATTTTTTCCATATTATGCGTGTTACTTTTTACCACATTTGTTTTGTGTTAAATTTACACATAAATGAGAGTGGATGATTTGGGACATATGATATGTTAAATTTAACACATCAGTATATAGAAAGAAAGATAAAGATAGATATATTAAGTTTCGCTTAAAGCCAAAATAATATTGGTGCAACCAGGCCACTTTCTGAACAGTTTTTTTATGAGCGGCAAATCGTGAATAAAATTCTTCACTGTTTTATAACTTCGACACTTTAGTATTGCTAAAACATTTTGCAAATATTCGAGATCGTACATTTGGTAATATTCATGAAATGTTTTTAAAATATTAAACAAAAATCTTCGAGAGATACGCATAAAATCTATATTTTAAGATGTTGATCTAATGTTCTTTGTGACGATGTTATGTCTACCATATAATCTATGCGCGCAAACGCGACCTTATGCTGATTTTAGTGTTTCACGTAAATGAGGAGAATATAAAATAGACAATCAAGAGATAAAATATTTTGTCTGTGTAGTGAGGATAAAAAATATTTTCCAGAGACGTAATACTTAATTATTACCAAGGACGTAGGAAGTATCTATTTTGTGCTGTGTTTTCTAATGGATATAAAAGGTCAGTTCTTTTATATTCTTGGAAACTGCCGTACACTGTAAAAACTGATGTGTTAAATTTAACACATTTCATGTGTTTGTTTTAAATCATCCACTCTCATTTCTGTGTAAATTTAACACAAAACAAATATGTTAAAAAGTAATACGCATAATATGAAAAAAATTAATATAAGAATTTAACACTCGAATATCATTAGAAATCACAGGTTGTGTTAAATTGACATATTTAATATGTCTGAGATAGATTATGTTAATTTAACATTTTCATTTCATCAAAACCATAGATTAATACTTCTCTCAAATGTTAAAGTAATGTTTCTCTCAAGTGTTAAAGTAATGTTTTATTTTAGTTGATTTAACACTATACATATGTCAATTTAATATAATACAAACCGTGACTCCTGACGGTATTCAAGTGTTAAATTCTTGTGTTAATTTTTTACATATTATGCGTGTTACTTTTTACCACATTTGTTTTGTGTTAAATTTGGTAAGCGGACAAAATCCATAAAAAAGAGGAGATAACGTTGGCAACGTTCAAAAAGTCTTTAGGATCCATAAATTTATTTCTAAAGGTTATAATTGTTGGACGTTAGGAGAGTATACAAAAGTATAAATTTGTGACAGGTTAACTCTGCATCTCTGTACACTCTCCTAACGTCCAACAATGATATTAATTTTCAGAAATGAATTTATGGATCCTACAGACTTTTGAACGTTGCCAACATTATCCCCTCTCTTTTTATGGATTTTGTCCGCTTACCTTAAATTTACACATAAATGAGAGTGGATGATTTGGGACACACGAAATGTTAAATTTAACACATCAGTGTACACATAACGATTCAGTAAAAGTTGCGCACAGAGAGAGCAAGAACCATCTCTCCTGTCTGCTTGACAATTCGCGATTCTGTCTATCGCGACTATATAATTAATTGAGGAGGCACGGGAGGTCATTACGCATGTGGTTCGTCGTTACGATCTAATCCGGGAATCCTTACGATTCGTCAGTGTATTGCGCGAACCTTGACCCGCTCATATGTGGAATTAGCTGGCCAGCGGGGTGCTCGACTCGCAAATCCGGATGAGTATCGATTGTGCGCCGCGATACTACGCGTAAGCGCCGCGGAATCTCACGCTCTTCCGCAAGAGCAGAAGCGTTCGTTCCGTGACGCTTTTCCGGGAAAAGATTATATATAATTATATATAAATATATATGATTATATATGATTATATGAATTTTGTCCATATATCTGACTTTATATCCCACACAGCACAATATCTTTCAAAAAGCTTTCCGAAAGATATAACTTGCAAACTATATTGAAATAATTCAGAAATATTTGTAAAACATTTTATCAAAATCTTTTTCATTAAAATATTTCAGAAATCGCTTATAATATAAGCGTTGATTTATATATTAATACATAAATTTAATTAATCTAATTAAATCTTATATATAGATGGATTTTTTTCCTTTTTCGTTATAATTTATAATGAATCTCTTTTATAATTACTCAGTTTATAGTATTTTATGACTTTATCTATTTAATAACAGTTAACAATAAAAAATGTTTATTATAAAAAATGAAAGATAACGAAATGGAATGTGCGGGATTTTGTAGACCTTACCTCATTACCTAAAAATTAAATTAACAATGAAACATGTACGAAAAACATAATTTTTATTAAAATTAAATCATTTTATTAAATTATATAAAAAAATTATATTACTATGTTAATTACAATATATATTGACAAAATGTAAGACGTTTATATCAATCGAAGAAGTGGTGTAGTGTCTAAAGCAACAGATAATCCATAATCCAGAGATGGCTCATGGTCCAAGTTTCGAGTCCCAGTGCCGATGAAAATTTTTAAATGTGATGTAATATTGAAATCAAATAATCTAAGATTTTTAAATAAAATCAGCAAATATTGTGATATTTACGAATAATTTCTAAATATAAAAATACGAATAATTTCTGTATAAAAAAAAGTGTCTGAAATATTTCCCATATATTTTTGAAACATTTCAATAATATTTCAGATACATTTCAGATAGTACATGATAGCGCGGAACATTTAATATATCTGAAAGTTATCTAAAACAAGTCTGAAATATTTCTTTGAAATATTTCATATTTCATTGAAAGCTTTCTGAAAACTTTCTGAAATATGTTGGTGCTGTGTGAGATATGATCATATCTAATTATATATGTCTATATATAAAACTGTCAAATTGTCAAATGAAAAAAGGAAAACATAATTTTATTCGATTAAACGTCGACATTATGGGCTACCATAAACATAAGCATTTACTTCGATTGTATCTTCACAATAGTATTCTTTTCAATGTCGATATATATAATTATATATGATTATATATAACCATATATGGACAAAATTTATATATAAACTTTTTTTTCTCGGATTATGTGAATTTTGCTGTCGTTGTTAATTGGCACACATTGTGGACTACACATACTGACAAAAAATACTCAATAATTTATTTGTGGGATATAAAGTTTATTTTTATAAGATATAAAGCTTATTTTTGAGAATAAACTTTATATCCCGCAAATAAATTTTCTAATATTTTTTTCCTAATATTAGTTTCTATTAAATCCTTCTAGGAAGTTATGGATATCAAGAAGGAAATAAGAAGTCTTTGTCGAATGTTTAAAAAATACCGAGTTGATGTCGTTTATTTTATTTGTAAAAACGATCGATCCTTTGCAATTGGACGATATTGTTTTATATTTTATTATAAATACAACAACCTATATATAATATTTTACTCGAGATTAAAATATGCAATTCATGAACTGTAACAATTTCAGTATAGAATCATTCTTTCATTTATTCATTAAAATTTGAAAAATATGAAATTATTCATTCGTTTAAAATATTATTTTTTATGTAAAGACATGAAACAAAATTTTGGTGGCCAAGAATTCGTATGTATGAAATCGAAAATTTTCAAGAAAGACAGAACATTGTTTTGAAACTTCGCTTTGCTTTGGATGATCGAAATTTTCTTATACTTTTTTATCTTTTAAGATTTCAAATAAAAATTAAACGTTTCTGGCAAATGGAGAAAATAAAAGTTTTTACTGAGTTAAAATATACATAAAATGGTCATTCATATACAAGGTAACAACTGTTAGCTATTGATTTAGAAATATATCACATTTTATCTCTTTAAAGACGTGAGTCGCCGTTTCTAACGCCGTTTGAAGCATTAAAAGTCTCGACTCACATCCTTGACTTGTTATTTGTTCAAAGTTTAATGATTTTATTTACATTCATCGATTTTATACGTTAGTCAGAGCAAGCTCGAAATTGCATGTGACCCACTAGCGAGCGTGATATTACGGGTCAATTAATTGGTCGTGATTATACAGAAGCTTAATTATTAGATTGCGATCTCTCGATGTATTCGCATCGACGAGTTACGCGTCCTTAATTCTTTTAACTCTGTCCGAAGTTCACGTTGTCAATTGTGTCGTAACGTATCATTTTTTGTAACGTGTACTCTAAGAAAAAATCAATCGAAACAATCCGCGACTCGGGTTGAACGAACTCAATCTTTCAGGGCTATACATGGCGAAGTAACTCGCATATTTTCTCAGCATTATTTTCGCTTTTCCTTAATCTCTTGTTCGTGCAAAGCGAGCTCAAAAGTTTAACGAGCTAATTATAAAGCTGATTTGACGCATTATTGACCGTATATTTACCGTTTAATTTATTTAACCTTTCGTCAAAAATATATAGTCATTCGTATTATGCAATTAAATCATTGTTTGATAGTTGTGAGAGAACATCTATATTATACATACATACATATATTATTTTTACATATATATTATAATTTTATTTTAATTTTATTAATATTTTAACTGCTGACTAGATTTTGTAGTTCAAATTCTTATATCAAATGCTGATATAAGATTCTGATATCAGATTGCTGATCTGTCTGGACTTTTATTTAACCTTCGATTTTTACTCGAGTTTGCAGGTTGCGTAAGAAAACCGTACTTATATAATATGGAAATTTAGTTTTTTTAACGCAATTTTTTTTCAGTATAATTATTTCGTTTAGCATGTGCGAATCGTGTGATAATCGTCAGTTAAAAAAAATTTGAAATATTACTCTCACTTTTTCGATTAATCAGTAATTATGTGGAATGCGTATCTATAAAGCGTCGGACATTTTACCTAACTCTTGATCCAGAGCGGAGCATTACAGTCCGATTTCATATTTATGATTGACTTAAGTTTATCCTAGGATGCTGTAAAGATCGATGCTTGGAGTACATATTTTAAAATGAAATTTTAAGTGTCCTGGCCCCGAGCGTGTATCTACGCTATGGAAGACCAGTTGTCTGGTCCCGAGCGTGTATCTACGCTATGGGGAACCAGTGGTGATCTCAGGAACGCGTATCGGCATGTCCTGTTGTCTCGCGTGTGTATTCACACGATAGAGACGTGTTGACGCTATGCGGTGTCGAGATCGATGTGTCGACGATGCGTGGGTCGGTGACGTATTCGCCACACTGTGATCCTAAAGCCCTGAGCAGGTTAGTAGCGATATCGAGAGCTCGGTGTCTCTGGGAGTTGATCTCAGAGAGGAGTTCCGATGAGCGACTAACACTTGGATCAGAGTGATCTCTGTGTCTACCGTGTGGCCTTTTATTTGGCTTGTTCGCGTTCTTCGGTTGTTATCGCGATCCTTCGATCGCTATCCGTAACGATCGTATGTTACTCCGCGCGGTTTGTCTATTCCCAGCAAACACAATAATATAACAGTTACATCGTCATAATATAACAGAATGTAACGTGCAATATAACATGTTTGTTACTCGTAACATACACGTTAGTTGTAATTTCCCACTCAAACGATATTGCAACTATATAACAGAAATATAACATGTTACTAAAATATTATATATAT